CAAACCGGCTTGGTTGCCAAAGCTCAGCTCCGGTCTGGTGTTGAGGGATCCGCCTGCTCCAAGGGAGGGCTCCTCTCCCAGGCGTTCGGTGCGAGCTCCGCAGCGGGGCCCCCCCCCGACCCTTCCCAAAGAGCTGTTTCCAGAGCCACTCAGCACCAGGTTTGCCCCTCTTGAACCAATGCCAGATGAACAAGCAATCACTAACGAATGTCCTCTTCTCTCCCCCCCCTCTCCCTCCCTCCTCTCTCTTTCCTTTCGGCGTGGATTCCTTCCCCTCCCTCCCCTTCCCCGCGTTGATCTCCCTTCCCTCCGAAAACCTCCCCTCGTCCGATTCCCCGGGGTGGGTTTGGCACGCACGCCGCAGTCTGGGGTTACGGTTTCCTCTGCGTGACCGTCATCTCCCTCTGCTCGCTGGTGGGAGCCAGCGTGGTGCCCTTCATGAAGAAGACCTTTTACAAGCGGCTGCTCCTCTACTTCATAGCTCTGGCGATTGGAACTCTCTACTCCAACGCCCTCTTCCAGCTCATTCCCGAGGTAGGGTAAGGCCTGTCGGGTCTGTCCTTTTCTCTCTCTCGGGGGCTGTCTCTGGGCACTCGCTGGCTGGAGAAGGGGAAGGCGGCATCGGGGGGAGGGCGGCCTCGGGGGGGAGCCGAGAGCGAGGTATGGAGGCTGGAAGCGCCTCGGGACCGCGGTCGGAGCTGGCGTTTCGCCCCTCTTTGGAAGGGAACCGCTCCAGGGAGACCTCCGGTCTGCTTCAAGCAGAGAAGCGCTATTTTGTTGCCCTTGTAGCCCTGCAGGCAGGTATCCTTCGTGCCGAGGCAGCGGAGGCTTTCTAAGCCTGCTTTCAGCACCCCTGCCCCGGTGCACGGGGGTGGATCCAATGCCCTGGGACACAGCCGGCTTGGCTAGGGGAGAGAAGGAGATTAAAGGTGCACGAAGGCATCTTCAGAGCTTGCTCCCAAAGCAGCTTCTGCTTAGAGAGAGGTCAGAACGTGGCAGCGTTGCCGCAGAGGTGCCAGGGCAAAGGCAGACGAAGGACGCTGCCGGAGTCTGTTCCTCGGTCCTGTCACTTGTCCCCTTTTGCCTGCAGGCGTTTGGATTCAACCCTCAAGAAGATTATTACGTTTCCAAATCCGCTGTGGTGTTCGGGGGCTTCTACCTCTTCTTCTTCACGGAGAAGGTCTTGAAGATGCTCCTGAAGCAGAAGGACCAGGTGAGGCTGAGCAGGGGCTGCTCGGAGCGCTGCTCGGGTAGGAATGGTGGCTGACACCCGTACGTCCCCCCCGTCCCGCAGCATCACCACGGGCACAGCCACTACGGTCCCGAGGCTCTGCCATGCAAGAAAGACCAGGAGGAGGGGGTCACCGAGAAGCTGCAGAACGGGGACCTGGACCACATGATCCCACACATAACCAGCGAGCTGGAGTGCAAGACCCCCTCCGGGGATGAGAAGGTCGTGGTGGGCTCCCTCTCTGTCCAGGTTAGTGCCTCCTCCCGTGGGGTTGCGGGAAGTTTTGAAGCCCGTTGCACCTCCCTGACAAAATCCTCCGTGTGAGGGTCAAGTCTCGTGTGGATTTAATGCGTGGAAGGGTGGGTTTCGGTGGGCGGTGGCCGGAGCGGTGACCCCCCTCCAGCGTGGCTGGGTGCTGAGCCCCCACCGTTGGGTGCCGTGGCAGGACCTGCAGGCCTCCCAGAGCGCGTGTTACTGGCTGAAGGAGGTGCGGTACTCCGACATCGGCACGCTAGCGTGGATGATCACCCTCAGCGACGGCCTCCACAACTTCATCGACGGGTTGGCCATCGGGGCCTCCTTCACCGTCTCCGTCTTCCAAGGGGTCAGCACCTCCGTGGCCATCCTCTGCGAGGAGTTCCCGCACGAGCTGGGTGCGTGAGTCTTCGGGGAAAGGTGCTGCCAGGGCTCTCGGATCTGCCCCTCTTTAAGGCTCCCCCTGCCACTTTCCTGGTCCTACCCGTTATTTCAAGAAAGAGAAGCAAATGTGGGGTGGAATAAACAGAGTAATGATGGGGGGGACGGCGAGGCTGTAAACTACACTGAGTAATCACAGCTCTAAAAATAACGAGGTAATATGATGTCTGAGATTTAAATTTAGATGGAGGCATCTGAAGAAAAAAACCCAACACCTCGTTGGTTTGGGAGGGGGGAGGCGGGCAGAGGTTTGGGTTCGAACGCCCGAATTTATGCGCAGGCAGGGCCAGGAGCTGGCAGGCAGGCAGGCCGCGGGGTGAGCGCTCCGCGCCGGC